CTCTTTCATAACAGAAAAATCAGAGATAAGTCCTGGCCCATTTACATTTCTTATCCTAATATAATCTGTCACCCTAAACTGAGTTGTCTGTAGCATAGATGTCATAGGATTCCAGTTGCCAAGAACTCTTTTTGTCCACAGGTTGACTTCGTTAAGGAGAATAATTTTGGCGGGGCCATGGTTTGGGCCATTGATCTGGATGACTTCTCGGGCTCCTTCTGCAAGGAGGGCAAACATCCACTCATAAGCAAGCTGAAGTCACTCCTGGGCCTGTCCTCAGGTGCGTCATACTGAGTTCAATATGTTGTCCTACAAAAGATGCAGATCAAGCTGCAAAGACAGCAAACTCAGAGAGGCCAGAGTACACGAAGGCAGCCTTGAAACTTCTAGACCCTCACATCTGAGAAAAGGGACACAGTGATACAAAGTGCCTTTTAGGCAATCTGTTTTTCAGTCAAGGGACCAATTCCAAGTTCAGTTGCTATCATGGGCAAGAGTTTGAATATACCTGATATACTAGAGGTGGGCCTTGCTGCTTAGGAGAAGCCAATTGGAGAACACTGACATTCATCTGTCTCTAAGCTAGAACACTTTCCTTTGTCTGCAGTATACCATATCCTAAGGTAGATGCATGCATTTTGCCATTTAGTCATTGGTAAGGAGGGTCTAAAGGAAGTTATGAAGAAGAGCAGGGGCAACATTCATGTGACTGATTGGTCAATGACTCAGCAGCATGAAGAGAAATCTCTGCTCCCCAGGTGACGTGGCTGTGTATTCTTTGTGTTAAGCACCCCTGGGGGCAGATCTAAAAATGGAGGCAAAGCAAGGGAAGATGTAAGAGGTACCTTAGGTCTTTAAGAAAGCTCACAGAATCAATGATTTCTAAAGCTGTAAACACCTGTGAGAGAGATTATAAAATGATTTGCTCAAATCAAACAGTAAGAAAATTATAGTGGTTGAGCACATTCAACTAGTAGAGTAAAATAAAATATAAAAGAAAAATTATGAATCAACAAAGAGAGAGAAAAGTAAAAAAAAATAAAAGTGTTCAGGAACAAGAAAAAGCAAGTATGATAAAGAAAGCATAAGAAGCTGACAAAAACCCAAGTATAATACTTAGGAAAGGATGATTAACAAGATGACAAAAACCTAAATCATTACTTTTGACAAAAATATCAATAGTTATGCTTCCCTTATTAAAAACCTACTATTAAATCATCCTCCAAATGAAGTCCTTTGTCCTATCACTGTAAAGTTGGGTTCACATCCTCCCTAGCAGGACTAGGTTGGAACTCAAAGGCTCACATCCTACAAGGACACCAGTGGCCCTCTTCTTAGCTTTGGACATCTGACCCCTTAAAGCATTCTTCCTACTTTCAGCTTGGAAGCTCTTGTTCTCTGAGAATAGAACTGGTATGAGAATGATGTTCTGAAATTCTCCTTTTGTTCTTTTAGAATGTACTCCACCAGCCACCAAAACCTGGTATAACCAACCTATGACACCCAGAAGTGAAGGCTTCTGCGCTAATATTGGTGGAGGTGGCAGTGGTGGTGAAGGCGGTGGTGATGGAGGAAGCGGTGGAGAAGGTGGTGGTGATGGGGGCAGTGGAGGAGATGGAGGTTTCTGTACTGGTAAAGCAGATGGTATCTACAGTGATCCTGAAAACAACACTAAGTTCTACCAGTGTGTGCAAGGCAAGACGTTTCACCTCCAGTGTGCTCAAGGTTTGGTCTTTGACCAGAACTGTAAATGTTGCAATTGGCCTTAAGTTAAAAATGTTGTTAAATTACATCCTCCAATATTTCATGCAATCTACATATTATTTTAACCTCTCCAACACATGGAAAGCCCTACTCCACTAAAATAGCATTACAATAAGGCTTTACTCTATTAAAACCTAAAAAATAAACTCTGTAAACTCCTTGAAGCAAATCCACATGTAAAATAAATACGGCACAGCATATTTTGTTCTTGGTATTTATTCGTACTCTTTCTTAAGTACTTATATGTACGATTTAGCATTTGAAGGTATCCTGAAGGGTAATTGAAGCTATATTAAAATTTTATTATTTATCAACTCAGATTACTATTTTAAGAAGAGAATTTCCTTCTCTGGGAAAATCTTCATATGTACCCAACAGTGTGAAATATGTCCTATCACTCTGTCAATATCCTCCAAAGGGCCCACGACCCTGAATCAGAAACAATAATGAATGCTGAATGATTCCCCCCTGAAAAACCATGGGAATCTGAGGGGGAAACAGGAGGGTGGTGTGGAAGAAATGATGAATTAATCCTGACTTATCCTAAATGATAAACACTTCCTGACAGATAATAGAAATCATGAAGTTATCATATTAAAAGAAGCATATGAGAGAGGCCTTCAAAAAGTTCACAAAAATACGTATTATGAAAAACTATGCATGGATTTAAAAAATTGTACACCAAAATGAACCTGTAATTTTTTATTTGCCTTAGGGCACTCATTGGTGAGAGAGATGGGGGGGGAGAGAGAGATAAGTGAGAGGGAAAGTGAGAAATCACTCCCGTGGGGGTATGGCCACCCTGCAATCCCTTCTCCATTTTCCTCCTAGGTTCTTGGACACTCACACGTGCCTTGCATGTTTCAAGCCACTGGGTCTGAGACTCAAATCATGGTAGACCATGTGGGAGTCCAGTGACATAACTGCTACGACATCTGCTGGTCCCAGTAATGTCATATTTTAATTCCATTTTTTCCATGAACTTTTGAAGTTCCTGTATGTAGGGTAAGTTTTCAGCCTGAAGCACCTTTATCATTATCTTAATTTTCTAATGTGATTTATAGAGAGACTTTTCTGTCCTTCATCACTATTATTTCGGGAGACCTCAGCCCTCGAGGAATTGAGTCCTTTAGCATCATGACTCTTACAACCCCTTTACCGTGGGTGGCCCTGAGGGTTACAGTAGGCTAGAGCTTTCTGTGGCCACTGGTAGCTCCTCACTTTGGTATCTAGACACAGGTATATTTGGTATCTTCCTGAGAAGTGGCCCAAGTTCATCCGGGTACTAAAAGATTCCCAAAAGATAAAGTGGACCGCATGCAGTGCCAATCCTGAATGACCTGTATGTGAGTTATTTCAGGGAGAGGTGGAAGGAAGGTAGCCTACTTTTTGGGCTGGAATGTCTGGGTAGGTACTATGAATGTGGTTGCTGTGGATTCTGACCTTTATATTTCCAGAGTAACTTGTTAAAGCTTTAGGGGAACATTCAGATTGAGGGGCAGGTCCAATTTACTAAATGGCTTAGGGAGTCCTCAGACTTCAGGCCAGAATTAAGGTGCAAACCGATGGGTTTATTTTGATTCCTGCTATAACCCCAGTGCTCACTGCTCTGTTTGACACATAGTAGGAACCCCAGATATACGTTGAATGACAGACTAAGTAGATGATGTAATGGGAAAACAGGTAGTTTTGACTCTGTGAGAGTTATGTCAATCTGGGAGATGTAACCTAATCAGGATCTTCCTATTCCTTGAAAATTTTGGAAGAGGTCCTAAACATAAATTATTTAACTTGTCCAAATCACATCTGACAGCCTCCTATCCAGAGATACTGGTAAATTTTATAAAATTGGCATCTGGTAATTAGAGCTGGAGAGTAGGGACCCAAGGTTATTTCGCTAAAATGAAACCACCCAACTGAACTCCCAGCTCCATCTAGGTATGTATGCACACAGACCAGCAGCTGGAGATAGAATACTCTGAACTAGTCTTTATGCTCATACAGTAGTTATGAGTCCCTTGCCCACCCCTGGGCATCACACTGGCAGACAAGAATGCCACAGAATGCAGAGGATGAAGAGAAGCTCTGTCCTCGATCTTGGACATTCTGTGGTCAGGAGGAGTGTGTGAAGTAGTCACCACTCCTCAGTTGTAATATAGGCTTAGGTAGGCCACACGGTTCCGATGCTTTCTGAAGTCTTTGTCTGTGGACAGCTGCAATGGAAGAATATAGTCAAGTTCAGTAGTCTAATGAGAACCCTCTGCCTCTGTTTTTCTGGATGTCCCAAACAGAACTAACTTTACATTATAAATATATGGCCCAGGTGAACTCAACCTCACAGTAATCTAGCCTTAGGGATTCACTCAACACTTTAATGTACATCTACCCTTTATCACCTTACTATGGTACACAGCTTGCTAGGAATTATTTGCTACTTGGTAAATCTCTAATTAGTTGGTAAGCTTCTTGACAACAAGGACCATGTGTTTAAATAGGCCCTAGCACAATCATTTTAATACATTAGGAATTTAAAAAATATTTGTGGGATTAATCCAAAATTTCACTAGGAAAAAAAGGCTCTTCCAAAATTATGATAGCTAACACAGATTATTTCTTATGTTACCTGGTTAAATGCTTTGTTAAATGCTTTCCTATCTTATCTCAATTAATTTTTAAAACATTTCCAGATAAATTCTATTATTACTCATCCTACAGATAAGAAAACTGACACTTAGAAAAATTAAATGACTTGCCCACAAACACAGAGCAGGTAGATACAAGAGCTAATATTTGAATCTGGGCAGTTTTGTCCTCACAGTCCATGCTTTTAAGCAGCTGCTTCACAGCTCCCCAGTGATCTGATACTCAAGTGATGGGGTAAGACGGACACTGGATTAGGAGGCATGAGATCTGGATTCTTGCGGGGCAACTGTACAATTCACTTCATCCAGCTGAGCCTCAGAGTCTTCCTTTATCACATAGGGGGTATTTCTCCTATACCTATCACAAATGATTATTTGAGGATCAAATAAGAAAATGTGACTTTTATTTAGTCTTATGCACCTTTAAAAATCTAATGAAATTGTGTAACTCTCCCAAAAGATCTCCAAATGATTACATACATGAGTATGTGTAACTCTCATATTCATATACACGTAAAATTGTGCCTATGATTTCAGGGGACCAAGGACTTCCTGAAGTTCATTCACAGACTCCTGGTTAAGAACCTCTGATAAATATGAAATGCTAGAGTGTGCTACATTTCCAATCTTATTACCTCAGCTTTTAAGGTTCTTTTCTGAAGACATGGAACCTGAGCCCAATCTGGAGATCCAAATTTCATAGGCCAAGCAATTTTTGGGAATGGCTTATTCTTTGGGTTGTATGTACCAGGGCTAGAAAAAAAATACAAGCATCATGTCTAATGAGTTAGTGACCATATATAAACTTTATTAGTACCATAGCCATCCTTTAATTAGGCCCACCCCTTGGGAAAAGGCAACAGACTGATGGGATTTTTTTTCTTTTTTTGGAGAGGTTTTTGCTCTAGGGCACGTGTGCTCGCCAGACAGACAGAGAGAGACAGAGAGACAGAAAACAAGAAATCACCCCCCAGGGGGGATGGTCACGCCGTAATCCCTTCTCCTCCATTCTCCTCTTGGGATCTTGGGCACGCACGCACACGCGCCTGGCATGAGTTTAAGCCACCGGGTCTGGGACTCGAACTGCGGTCGACTATGTGGGAATCCAGCGACATAGCCATTAAGCTAACTTCCGGTCCCTGATGGGATTTTATTTTTGAGAGGTTTTTGCTATAGGGCGCGTGTGCTCGCCAGACAGACAGAGAGAGACAGAGAGACAGAAAACAAGAAATCACCCCCCAGGGGGGATGGTCACGCCGTAATCCCTTCTCCTCCATTCTCCTCTCAGGATCTTGGGCACGCACAGACACGTGCCCGGCGTGAGTTTTAAGCCACCAGGTCCAGGACACGAACCGCGGTAGACTACATAGGAGTCCAGCAACATAGCCATCATGCTAACTGCTGGTCCCTGATGGGATTTTTTTTTAATGTCAGGCAAGCATGGAGCTCCTTTGACTGCTCATGTGACCCTAGTTAGATGTTAGTGTTAAAGATAGCTAGCCTTGACATCCAGCTGGAGTAAAAGTATTTCTGGGGCTGTTCCTGTAGCTTAATGGTTAAGGGAGCAGTCATATCCCACATGGCTGACCACAGTTTGAATCCTGTCACTGTGGCTTGAAAAAGATGTTACATGTATGTATATATATATATATATATATATATATATATATATATATATATTCACCTTCCAATATGCACACACACACACACAAGTATGTTTATGTATTTCTGCAATTAAGTATTCTTGCTAAGAGATCAGAGGATCCCAGAAGTGATGGGTAATGAAAAAGATCTAAAACAGTAATAAACTGGTTCAACTCATGACTTGACATTGGTGGGTAATAAAAGTAAACAATGATCTTATCTGCAATCTAGGAATGGTGAAACAGAACCAGTGAAATTTTCTTGACAGAGAGATTATTTTAAAATTGCCTTTAGTCATAAAACTTTCATTTTATTTTATTTTTTTTTTGCTGTGAACTCTTGACTGTGGGGAAATAACACTTAGAGTGGACATGGATGTCAAGACTCAATACTTTCACTTCCTTAATGCAAACTTGAAAAAGGTACATTCACCCTGTGAACCTTAGATTTCTCATCAGTAAAAGAAAAACCTTGACCTTTTGTGTTACAATTCCATTCATTCTGAATAGGTTACTAAGGCATCTAGAGTTAAGGCCTTTGGTGTATAATTCCTATATAATTATACACCAAAAAGTATGGAAAAAATGGAATTAAAATATGAGTTTATTTTTGTGCAGTAAATTATGAAGTCCATGCAGTTTTTTCATAATACAAATTTTTCATGAACTTTTCAAGAGTCCTTGTATACTCTAGCCCTGCCTGCCCTCTTTGTTCTGATTTCCTCGTTCTCAACACTCTACCCAAACTAGTTCTCTTTCTTTTTTCCCTCATACCAAATCCCTTCTCAACTTAGAAGCTTTGTAATTACTGTTCCTTCTGCCTGGAATGCTCCATCCACAGATCTTCACTGGGCTGGCTTAGTCTTGTCATGCAGATCCTGAATCCAGTATTCCTCAGAAACACCTTTCTCGACCTCATGTTCTTTTTTCTTTTGAGGATTATTTTTATTTAACTTTATTCATTTACTTATTTTAATTTGACCAATATGTTCAGAGAGGGACAGAGTAAAAGAGACAGACAGAGAGAGAGAGAGACAGAGAGAGAGAGAGAGAGAGAGAAAGTGAGAAAGCAAGCTGCCAGGTTTGGGACTTGAACTGTGGTTGACCATGTGGGAGTCCAACGCCCTTAACCACCACACCACCTGCCAGCCCCTCAACAACACTTCCTAAAGTAGTTTCCAGTGCATCACTCCACATCATATCACCAACCTGTTTTATCTCATAGCCCATCGCTAGGGCACTGTACTTCCTGTATGCTCATGACAGTCCTAGCTTATGGCTATGGTTTTGGTATAATTATTAATAGGCCTCCTTTCATTCTAAGAAGTACTATAGTTTAACTAATAAATGACATGACCCCTCTCCTTAATAATATTTTTCTTGTGTGTTTGCTTCTCATTCATCTGGACTCTAAAATGTAAGTTCCAAGGAATCTGGAGTTTTGTGTGATGGGTTTACTGGAAAATTTCTGGTACCTACAAAACTGTGTGGGACATTAATAAGTACTTATTGATTGAAAACCTATTAATCTACAATGCCAGAGACGTGGGAGGCAAGAGGTAAATCTCTAAAAGGCAGGTAGTTTCTTATTTAGTGGGATGGTTTGGATGTAATCCCTTCTTCGGGTACTTCTTTTCCTATTGCTTTTTGTTGACATGCACCAGAAAAGAGGAGACATACCCGGGATTATTATTGTCCTTTGAGCGACTCTTAAATCGAGGCATCAAGACATTAAATGGAGCAAAACTTTGTTTGTGTTTCTCTTCTCCAAGACTCATTATCTGGTACATGCCTGGGAAAGGTGTCACATCCTGTTTCCAAGAAAAAGAGTAATATTACAGAGGTGGTAAATATATACATAGAGCCTTCCAAATAAGAAAAATCGGAATTACCTTTCCTTGTTCATAAATGAGCTACGGTACAGCTACCTCAAGCTATAGGAATAGCTCTGAGGGGGCCAGCCTGAGGCCTCATGGTAAAGGTGGCTGGCTCCCACAAGGCTGGCCACTTGGTTCATGGTTCTCAGATACAGTGACTTGAGAAACATGCTGAGCATGTGTGCATGCATGCTCAAAATCCCAAGGAGAAGGGATTGCAGCATGACCATATCCAATGGAGGTGCTTTCTACTTTTCTTCTCTCTCGGTCTGTCTTCGTTGAGTGCACATACCCTCTGGCAAATTAAAGAAAAAAAAAAAAAAGAAATACACTTATGGTAAGTAGGAAACCAAGATAGGGGTGTGGCTTAGCTACTGAAGTGCACATGCATAGGTTATAGAAATAAACCTAGGATGAATAGAGACTCAAGGCAACTTGTCACAGTCACTACTACCACCCCACTCCAGTCAGAGATTTTTTTAGAGCCAGTATCTTAACTGAGCTTAAATGTCAGGAAAATCTCCATCAAGAGATTAGAATTCTATAGTGAAGACTTTGGATTTTAAATCCAAACATGCAGAAGGATGGAAAAATTTCAGTGTTTTTGTTTGTTTGCTTGCTTTTAAGGTTTTCACTATAAGGCATGTGCGCTTGTCCTTAGAGAGAGACAGTGAGAAGGAAGGTGAGAAATCATCCTCTAGTGGGGATGGTCACACCACAATTCCTTTTCTATTCTCCTGAGATTTTGGATATGCACATACACAAGCCCAGCCTGATTTTCAAGCTTCCAGGTCCAGCTCTTGAGCTGTGGTTGGCCATATGAGAGTCCAGTGCCTGCTAGACCTTGTAATTTGGTTTTTAATTGACAAGATAATGCAATGTATAGAAATACAACTCCTGGGACCAGCAGTTGACGTAATGGCTATGTCACTGGACTCCCATGTAATCGACCATGGTTAGAGTCCTGGACCTTGTGGCTTAAACTCACACTAGGTGCATATGCATGTTTGCCTGAGATTCCGAGAGAAGGGATTGTGGTGTGGCCAATCCCCCTGGGGAGTGATTTCTCACTTTCTGTCTCTCTCTTTCTAGTGAGTGCATAATACCCCTATAGCAAAAACCTCTCCAAAAAAAAAAAAAAAAAAAAAAGAGAAAGAAAGAAGTACAATTCCTAATTCCTTAAGCATCTCAGCATTGATGGCCTGTCTAGAGACCATTTTCTTTTCTCTATTTTTTTTTATTTTAATTGACACATAATAGGTATACATATTATGGGGTACAGTATTAGTTTTTAGTATATGAGTACAATGTGTAATGATCAAAGCAGGTAGTTAGTACATCTATCACCTCCAATATTCATAATTTCTTTGTGTTTGGAACATTTAAAATAATCTTTTCTAGCTATTTTGAGATATACAACAAATTATTGCTAACTATACTCACTCCACTATCCTATAGAACACTAGAACTTATTCTTCCTATCTCACTGTAATCTTTTACCCATTAATTAGCATCTCCTTATCTCCTACTTTATCCTACCCTTCCCAGTCTCTGGTAAACACTGCTTGAGATTATTTCTTTAGTGAATTATTTTCTATTCTCCCCAGGACACACACACACACACACACACACACACACACACACATACTCACATTTGCAACGCTAACAACCACACTTGCTTTTCAGATAGACTTCTGAATAGCTTTGGCCTAAACGGCCTCTATTCTTGAATACCAGGGCATATTCTTTTGGGTATCCTCCCCTTTCTCTGCCCTTTGATCTCCAACACTGCAGCACCATGAATCACACTAAAAACCCCAGTACATTACCTTGCTAATTGGTTTAAACCTCAGGGCTGTTCTGGCTCCAAGGGCATATCCTTTTGTACTGGTCGGTATCTTAGATAGGTTGTATGCCAAGCCATATTTCTATGGGTCGTATATATTAAAAAAAGAGAAAGAAAGAAAGAAAACAACAACACATAGTCAGAGAACAATACAGCTGTGGAAATGAAGTGTACTTATAAGACTCCCATCTGACCTTTCTTTGCTAGAGATTACTCTTTTTTTCTTGTCTTGATTCCTTGGAGGTCGGGACCATACAAACAATCGCATAAGCCACACAGATAAGTTTGCAGAGGTCTATTGCTGTATAGTTAGAACAAATGGCATTTCTATGCATTCCAATGAGTCTAGTCTTCTGAGACCCACAGAGCTGAAATTGCTCTGACTCAGCTTTTGGCCTGACATTTGAAACAGGGAGACTGGCATTAGCTCACAGGCCTTTGGAGGTGGGAATGGGATGGAGACTATAGGAAGTCAAGGCTTGTTATTTTAGGGGTGGGGAGTGCATGCAAAGGAGGGAGCAACTCTCCCTCCGACAGACCTGAACAGCTGGTTGCAGGCCAGGGCACATTCCTAAGTTGAGACATCAAGCATCGCAAACCCCATAGGGCCCCTCCCGCCCAGCTAAACTTGGGTATCCTTTAATGGCCAGAGAACTAAAGCTACCTAAGTAGAGATGATACTCACATCTTCTGGTAGGTAACATCCAGGTCCTCTGTGGGGTGATCCCCTAATTGGGAGAAACTTGTTCCCCAAGAAGTTTGGGGCATGATAATAAGGAAAGAGCTTCCTCTGCTGACGTGTGCCAAAGGAGTAGTTATGCACCGCCTCTAAAGATCAAGAAAGAAAAGAAACTGTGAGAGGCTTGGGGTATGAGCGGGTCAGAGGAGGAGTAGAGGGGACAGGGTTTGATTATGACTTTTCAAACACCAGACCGAAATCCACGGCAAAGAGAGAACTTCACTTCCTCCCCCCAACACCCCACCGTCTCCCGCGGTCTGCGCTAGCCTCTTCAAGCAGCCCTCCTCACCAACTTTGCTGAAGCACATCGCGCGCGGGGTGGAGCCAGCACTTGTGTACTGCGTTGCCAAGGGAACCGAGGCCAGCCCGCAGAGCTTCGCGGTGGCCCTCGGAGAAAGGAGCTGCTCGAGCGCGCCAGCGCGGCAAGCAGAGGCACTGCAGAGCTAATATTGGGGCTGGAACCCGGATTTTGGAGCCTGGAGCCCCGGGGATTGTGAATTCACCTGGTGACCTGAGGATGGGAGGTTTACAAGATCCACGGTTGTAGAGGCTGCGCAGGTGGCAAAGGGAGGGACAGTGGGGCTCAGAATGCCCCTGAGGCCTGGCTGCTAGAATCAAGGACATAGAAAAACAATCGGAACCTCTGCAGTGAGGGCGTGAGGAGGTGGGCTCCCAGGATAATAACCCAGAAGGGGAATTAGGAGCAGAATTGAGCTGATAGCTGGTTCTCTGTTAGACTCTTCTTTTCCTTTTCTTTGAGCCTTCCAATCAGGTTGCCATCTCAACATCTGCTGGAAAGGGGAGCTTTGAAGTGCTGGAGGCCTTAATCCGACAGTACCAGTGCTGCGGAATCACCGAAGTGCCTACTGGTCTTAAAATCCGGGGAATCAGAAATTTCCATACCCCATTTTTCTTGTCTCTAATCCCTCTTTATATGGTTGAGAAGATTGAGAAACGAAGACTAAAAGAATTCAGTGCCTGGTACTCGGTAGGTGACCGTACAAGAGGTTATCACCGAAGAGAATATCCAGCTGGTTTATGAGCACTCTTTATTAACCCAGGAAGAGTCAACATATATGTTGACTTTTGTGTGTGTGCGGGTATTAACAGCACCTTGTTTTCATTAGATTGTAGGCTGGCTCTGGGAGTCGTCCAGGTGTAGGAGGTAAAAGAACACACAGTGACTGGTCCATACTACCCTTTGGCCTTTTAAGAATGACCCTGAGAACCACACATACCCTGAGCTAGCATTGTCTTCAGAGATGATGTTACAGATCTAATGTACAGCTTCCGAAAAAGTGATGCCAAATCCTAGGGTGGATTTTCGAAATCTGTGAAAGTATTTTTGCTTGTTAAAAATTACTGAGGCGATTGATGTTCCTGGTCAACAGACCAGAAGGCTAGACATCACGCAGTTCACTGCCACGTCACACAGTGAATTGTCTCATGCCCCATGTAACATTCAGATGTAGTGCCATAGTGTACAAAAATTGGTAGTACTTACATATATTAATATTTAAAAATTTTTGTAAGAAAGAATTCAGAAAACCCAGTAATATCGAAGGTTGTTATGAGGACCAAGCTTAAAAGTAATACACGTAGAGTCTCAAATTTATTATATAATTTACTCCAAGCATCTGTCTACTTGAAATATAATTGTAGTAATATTGATGGTAAATGAAATGTAAAGAGATAGTGGGATCAACTTAGTAATTTTCACTTTCATTAATATTTTAGGTAATATTTACATTTGTACACACCCACAGTGTTTTTTAAATATATTATTTTGAAAATAATATTTCCAATATTAGTGATATGAAACATGCTTTACAAATTACTTTGAAAATAAGGCAACTCATTTTTACAATGGTAACCGATTTACTTCAGAGTCATTCTCCACCTGAGACAGGTAAAAAAGATGGACTAAGTAAATAAATGTCTTTGAAGATATCAGAGATCTACCCAGGAAGAAACAATGTGCAGGGCCAAAATCTCAGAGAGAAGAGAAGACTAAAATGGCGAGTCCAACAGTTTGTGCTGCTGTTTCCTCTGAATATTTGCTAAATAAAAAGCAGATTCTTCAAGTAGAGCTTTAGACAGTCTCTGAGAACCAAGACTAAGAAGATCATTTGAGTGGAGCTTTAGACAGTCTCTGAGACGTGGAGAACAAAAACTAGGCTGTCCATGGAAAGAGGAGTCTGAATACATTCTGGAATTTTAGTTGGGACTTCAAAGAGATAAACTCTGGAATAAGCATAAATTAGACCAGATCTCAAAAAAAAAAAAAAAAAAAACCAACCAAACAAACAAACAAAAACTGGAGTCCACCTTTGCATCAACTCAGTTCCCAATTGCATTGAGGTGATCTGCTTCTACCCTATTGCATATAAAAAATAAAAATAAATCAGGCCAAACTTGGTGGCACAGTCAGTAGCATACTGAACTACAGTGCTGGAAGCCACATGGTTGACCACAGGTTTGGATTCCCAGGTTGGCCTATAAACACACTGGAGTTACATGTGCATATGTGTCAACATAGGATCCTGAGGAACTGGAAGGCTAGGGA